AATGTGCATCCCCACTTCCACTCTTACTACTAGGAATTTGCTGAGTCAAAAAATAGCATTCTTGTAAAAGTAGTAAAAACTAAGTATCCAGTGCACCACAACAATGATTTTCATCTTCACTAGTGATTTGTATAATTACACAATAAAAGCCACATTGTTATCTTCGCATGCACCACCTGCAAAGCTTTGTAATGGCACTGTCACACCTTGACGATTTAGTCAGCGTATGCCAACATATCAAAATTTCTCTAAAGTGCTGACATACGCTGAACTATCAATGTTTTTTTTTTCAATTTTTGGCGTATACATAGCATGTATGTAAATACGCCATGGAAAATGAATTTCCAACATGTTTTAATGTTTGGACAAATAAAAGTTTATCTTATCTTATCTTATTCATAACGAGTTGGACATATACATAACATATTAGTAATATATAGAACGTTTTGATGACTTTTATTTAACTTATACCAACTTATGCCCAATGGCAGTCTAACTTATGCATAGCGCATGGCAGCGTATTGCCAAATATCACCTGAAGTAGCCTACAAAAACGCTGCCGCTCGACGATTCAAATCATACCTGTGCTAGACATCACAGTACTAACATCACCTACTGACCCCCATGAATACCTAACTTGCAAATAGCCAGTTTGCCCAGTACAAATTAGCATACACAGTGCCTGTAGTAAAGGCCGAGTAAATGCAAGCTATGAAGTAAGTGAAGGTACACTGTACATACCCTGTCTCTTATACACATCTAGATGTGTATAAGAGACAGCCCCTGTCAAAGGCACCACCACTGCAACCCATATGATCACAATGGTATCCAACACCTCGCACATACAGTAGCACTGCTTGCACTCAGTTTTAAAACTAAACAGCATGATTGAATTGTACTTTCGGCGCTCGACATTTGATTTTTCCCCAACGACTTTACTGGAAATTCCCTGATGAGGGGTCGAAGCAGAGGGTCCAGAGGTCACTGACAGGGTTTTTTCCCCCACCCCCAGGCTTGCCCTACCTGTCAGGGGAATTACACTGCTGTCTGGGAAATCCTAGCACCGCTACTGCTTCAGGAGACTGTTTAGCTGAGGCATCCAGCTTTTAAGCACTGGCGTCTGATGTAGGTGTTTTGTGTGGATAACAAGAAATATATATTTTAAATAATGCTGAACTTACAACATCCAAAAAGAAGTCTACATGTGGTCTTTTGTAAACAAAAAACCGTACTGGATGGGCATCAATAGTTACCTACAGTAAACAAAAACAGAATCAAATTATTATGCAAATAAAGCCTGAAGTTCAAGCTCAACATCTGATTTACTACACTAAATTTCATAATACTGGCCAGGGGTTATCATCACTATATAATTTAATTTAATACAATCTTTATTGTCACACAGTTAAAATATATGGTTTGAAATTTCAGTTTAACTGCTAAAAAAAAGACAATATATATCTTCAAGTTCAATAGTTTGGGGTGGTAGATCAAAAGTGCCTTCTACTCTGGTCTTCAGTTCATTTCCTGTCAAATAACTGATGACCAGAAATAAATCCCGTTAATCCTGTTAAATATTGTACAGATACTTAATAAAATACAACCTAATTAATCACCTAATAAGGTTGTATTAATACTGGAGTATTACAACAAACCAATTTATCATAACTGATACTGATGCTCTATACGACATTTTACCGGGCGTACTGTATTTTGAAACAGCACCACCAACATCTGAACACTAACAACTTTTCACAGGGGAACATCCAGCAGTGACAAAACAACCAAAGACACTGCAGGTTTTACTGTATGGGCCTGGACCCTTATTTTTTTTAATTTTTTTTTTGGCATTTTGTTTTCAAAGACTAGAAAGAAAGCCTATGCACTGGCCACAGATAAACTAAGCGAAATGCCTCAAGATGTCGTTTCTATCTTCTTGGAAATTTTCATTTCAAATGTTTAATTTTAATGATCTTGTCACCCCTGGAGAGATTGGCAACAGTGCAACTATGAGAGTAGACCTTATGATTTGAGTTGACAATACATTTTGAGCTTTCGTCTTCATAGATGTCTGGATGCATTTTGTGAGTTCAGGTCTTTGTAAGATGGCTATGTAGTATTTTATGTTTTGCAATGGGCTTTACCAAAATCTGTCTTTTTAAGTCAGACACAGTCTTGCGACCCTCAGGAATGTTTTGGCGACCCAAATTTGTATTGTGACCCATAGTATGAGAAGCAGAGCCTTTTAAAACAATACCCCTATTATAAAATGGTTTGTTTCATTGTTGTGTTGTTTATTCCTGTTGTTGTGGTTTTTATTCCTAGTGGTCTTTAATCCTAGTGGGTTTCTTTGCTTGTTTTTGGATTAACTTACCTTCAGAACAAAGTCAGGAGGAATAGTTGGCTTAGAGTTTGGTCTTATTAATCCATCATGATATGAGTGAATTAATGTTTCATCGAGATCAAGCACTAATGTCTTCCTCTTCACCAGATCTGTAATAGAATCCCGTATATTATTTACAATTTCTTGGTATTTAAGGGTGCACCGACAGCAATTGCTGTAGAAAGGGCGTTCCACTGCTGTAGTAAATCCCAGGATCGACAGCAAGATTTTAGCTGTCGAGTTGTTTATTAAACCAAGGCTAGGCCTAACAACCGATTTTACTCTTAAAAACAATAAAAACTGTTGATTGTTGCTGTAGAAAAAGAATAAATTGCTGTAAAGCCATAGCCTACAGCAACTTCTTTCTGATGGAGTATTTTGAGGAAATTCAAACCCTGTATTTATAATAATAATAATAAACATTTATATAGCGTCAATTCAAAAATTTATCAAAGGTGCAGGAGAAAACAAACTCGGTAACATTTCTCAAAAAGGTGAAACTTTAAGTTCTTCTTAAAAGAATATAAATTAGGCGAATTACGAACAGAAAAAGGAAGAGAATTCCACAGAGAAGGAGCTTAAACAGAAAAAGCATGTTGACCATAAGTTTTGGTTTTGTTATTTATACATAAATATTTTTTGTACTATAATTTTGTTTCCAATCCACTGGCATAATGGTGATGCATAAAAAATGTGCATCCCCACTTCCACTCTTACTACTAGGAATTTGCTGAGTCAAAAAATAGCATTCTTGTAAAAGTAGTAAAAACTAAGTATCCAGTGCACCACAACAATGATTTTCATCTTCACTAGTGATTTGTATAATTACACAATAAAAGCCACATTGTTATCTTCGCATGCACCACCTGCAAAGCTTTGTAATGGCACTGTCACACCTTGACGATTTAGTCAGCGTATGCCAACATATCAAAATTTCTCTAAAATGCTGACATACGCTGAACTATCAATGTTTTTTTTTTCAATTTTTGGCGTATACATAGCATGTATGTAAATACGCCATGGAAAATGAATTTCCAACATGTTTTAATGTTTGGACAAATAAAAGTTTATCTTATCTTATCTTATTCATAACGAGTTGGACGTATACATAACATATTAGTAATATATAGAACGTTTTGATGACTTTTATTTAACTTATACCAACTTATGCCCAATGGCAGTCTAACTTATGCATAGCGCATGGCAGCGTATTGCCAAATATCACCTGAAGTAGCCTACAAAAACGCTGCCGCTCGACGATTCAAATCATACCTGTGCTAGACATCACAGTACTAACATCACCTACTGACCCCCATGAATACCTAACTTGCAAATAGCCAGTTTGCCCAGTACAAATTAGCATACACAGTGCCTGTAGTAAAGGCCGAGTAAATGCAAGCTATGAAGTAAGTGAAGGTACACTGTACATACCTTGTGCTTGGGGAAGCAGCACAATTACTCCTGAGACTTCTCAGAAGTAAATAGTCCATACCGTGATAACTTTGAAGTAACTAATATTTACTATTAAAGAGCATCTTCACAGGCACTACCCAGGGCTTATGACAAGTAAAGTTCTACTTCAGAACTTAACAACTTGTTGTCCAAGGCTGGGCACTCACTGTGTCATACGACCATCGCACGACAAATCCAACTCTACCCTCTCTGTGAGCAATAGACGACGTGACCCCCATCTGCTGATTGTCGGTGGCAGTCTAAACCGAGTGTCATTAAAAACGATCCGTTGCGCGCATCATCACATTGCGGTCTTTATATACATCACGTTACGGTCTTTATAGAATCTCGTAGGCCAACCCCCGTCATGCGCAGTAAGTGCCAGGCTTAACATACCATTTGTAAATATTCAATTATTTTTTAAAATTTTGTTTGTACATCATTTGAAGGACAATAAATCATTGTCTATATAACTTACTTACCTAATTTGTGCTTTGAAAGGGGTGAAAGAGGCTGGATTTCGTAGCGAACTGTCTGGTGCTGGATAAACTGAAGAAAAGCAAGCATAATTAACAGGAAATTCTCACAATAATATAGAAAGAAACACTACTGTATACTGTACACTACTTGTTCAACCTCTTGAAATTGTTGAATTTAAGTAGCTTATTAGGGGTCGTTCACAATTATCAACATTTTCACAAGTATACAAACAGTATACTTTTTCAGTACCCCCCTCCCTCCCCTCAGAAAGCGTACAAAAAATTTTGATTTTGCAAAACCATTTTCCATTTTTTTGTAAAGTCGACTAAAAGCAATTTACTTGGTTGCTTAAAAATGAAAGTTATATCCATGGTTACATTATAATTTTACCATTACTTTACATATATTGCATGTTATTTTGAATTTTTATACATATGTAATAGTGTACAAATTTGTCTACCCCCAGCGTACTTTTTGTACACTTGTGAAAATGTTGATAATGTTGAACGTCCCCTTAGCAGAACAGAACATGGCAATGAAATATCAGATGATGTTGGTGATGCTTATCTTTTCCATGACAGTTACTGACACTCTATCCATCCAGATTTTTCAACAGTACATATCGTAATTGCCGTATAATCTCCCAAAAAATAAGTTAAGATTACTAAATACTATAAATGTAACATTTTACCACAACAAACCAATTCGGTGATGGGCGTCACATGACCCAACTTGGATGTTGGATGTAAACAGAGGTGTTTACATGGAGATTGCTACTGTGGCGGCAGCCATCCTCTGTTCTTGCTGTAAAAATCATCATAATTCCCAGCAAAGCTACAGTATACCAAATTGACTGAAAATTGAACTTGAGAATTTTTGCCTAAGGGGTTTGCTAATGCTCCAAAAGATAATGGCTGCAAACATTGAGATTGTCCGACAAATGTTAGGCCTAGGCCCCTGTACATCTATGGCCTGTTTAGGTATGCGCAAGAGTTTTCGACCTGCAAACTAAGCTACGATTTTAAGGCTAGCTAAGGTTTACGAAAGGATCACTTAAATTTCAAAGCATACAATGCTAGGAGAACGTTTCGATAATAATAAACACTATTCTGAACAATCGTTTTGACTTTCCTTGCCATTCACTTTTCGCGTTAACTGTGGAGGGATTTTTTCCCGACCATAATATTACCTTTTCCTATACTTTCACACTGATCGCACTGTAATGTTTTCCATGGTATACCCAAGTTATGTCACACGACCGGCTATAAGCAAACATCGCCGAATTGGTCTATTGCTGAAGGATTAGAATTCAGATGCTAGTGTTTGGGATCCATTACAAAGAAGATGTCATGAAACTTGACATGATGCCCGTTTTGCGTACAATGATTAGAAAAAAAAACAGCAGTGTCACCTCTATGATTGCATCACTTAGATGGAGGTCTTTAAAAGACCGTTGTAAAGATGCCTGGTTAATCTTACTGTTTAAAAATAATAGACTAATTTCATTTCCTAACATCAGTACTGAATTTAGTAGCGGTCCCACTAGATCAAGGTGGAAATTGGTTGGGGAGGGCCAAAGTGAATTTTTTATTTAACACCGAGGGCCACACCCAAAATTTTATGTTTTGAGTGCGCTTTCAAAAACCTTCATGCACTGCTTTTATACTGCTTTTTAATTCTCAGTTTTTTAATGGTACTTTTTACAGATGATCGGTTTCGGACTGTAAAAAACAAGGTCTTTTCTAGACAAAGATGGTTGGTGGGCTGCACACATAGGGTTTTAATTTATTTTCGTGGGCCACAAAAAATCACTGTTGGGCCACATGCCTCCCACACTTCGCCCACTGTGCACTAAATCATCAAGTAGCCAAAAAATCATTAATGAGCTAACACAGGGGATACCGTTATTCTCTGGTAGACCACACATCATTTTAGATTGGAACAAACATGATCCCACAAACTACTACCACAACTTCACTCCACATTTTTAAATCTATCATTGTAAATAACCTTTCCCTTTAAATTTGTTTTATGTCAGGTCAAGATAAGACTTTTCTTTATCTTGCCATATGTAGGTATGTAACCAAGTGCTATCCTGCAGTGTATAGTAAAATGAACAATTTACACATCAATCAAACATTTACACAGAAATAAAAATTTATTGTGAGCAATTGTAAGCAATTCAATGACTGTGCACTGATTTTTGTCATCTAATAGGAACAAAATAATGTTAATATAAGACAAAAAAATTAAAATATAAATAATAAATCTATAAATTTAAATAGAATTTCGAGGAATTATATATTGAGGGTTTACATACGTCTTGAAAAAGAATTATGCGCCTGCACTAGGCCTACTCTCAGTAGGCCCAGTGATGTTCTGTGCAGTAGTAGTAGGTCTGGGTAGCCTAGTCCTAGGCCCTAGTAGTAGTAGTAGTAGTAGCAGTAGGCCTAAACTAGGCCTAGTGTATGCCTTGCCATAAATTATTAAATATGAATACAGAAGAACATTGCTTGCAGTTTGCATAAAAATCTCAATATCTGCTTAATTTAAATTGCTGTCATCTGTCACCCTGCCTAACTAAGCCTAAGGCATTCAAGGTATGCTTTACTTATTGCTGCTCTAGGCCTATATCTACTAACTAGTAGCAGACCTAGTCTAGACTAGGCCCCCTCGGCCCTAGACTCTAGTAGTAGAAGGATCTAGACCTGTCCCTCCTTCCTTACCGGCGTAGGCCTAGGCCCCTAGGCTAGTAATTAATAATAATATAGGCCTAGGCTAGATAGGCCTAGCCCAGGCTGCCTTGTAAGTATAAGGGCAAGCAACTTACTTTCCGAATGTTCCTGCGTATCACATAGCTGAAAATTTCCCATAACTTTGAAGCAATCAAGAGAATAGTTTTTACGCCCATGAGTAAATAGGTTTTCATTGATGTTACTATTTAGTAATAACAAAAATTAGGCCTGAGACCTGTTATTTTTTCCCACGCCACGATTTGAGAGAAGATTGGTGGTGTACGTCGTATCTCTTTGGTCGTCGTAAACAGCAGGGGATCTATGGAATGCCAATCCCGCAAAAAAAAAAACGTTCACCATATCAAACAACGAAAACCAAAAACCATTCAATAATAAATTGAAACATAAATTAGCCCTAGACAAACTATTTATTGAAAACCAAATCGTCTAATCATACACGAAACAATCCACCAAAGAGTAAATCATCAAATTTAAAGTCAAATAAACGGAATGCAAATCATAACAGAAATGATATACTGTATCTATTTCAAAACCCCCACTCATTCCAAACTCAAAACATATGCATGTGTATCTCAAATAACTAAAATAAAAGCAGCAGCAACACAGAAACAATGGTAACAATAACAATAATAATAATTTATAATTGTCTCTTATCTCTTATTATGTGCAAGACCCTTTGGGATGCTCGCTCATTTTCTGTGGCTGGCCCCTCTCTTTTTGGAATGAATCCCACTTATCACGTACTTCTGAATCGGTCGAGCATTTCAAATCTGAACTTAAAACTTTCCTTTTCAGTTCTCACTTTCATTAGTTTTTTTTTTTTTTTTTTTTCTTCTTCTTCGTTCTTTGTCTTTTCTCCTTTTTGCTGGTATTACATCATCGTAATTTTTTAGGCAGCGGCGCCGCGAGCAACTCCATATTATCATGGATAGATACGTGTGCCTGATAAATCTCCGTTTGATTGATTGATGTCACACTTAACATTTTGTCCTTTTTGTACCTAAGATAGGCCTATAAAAATGGGAAAAAGGTAAATCAAAAAACTCTAGAGGGTCACCATTCTGGCGCATTGGACCTCTCTGCCTGTAGATGGCTCGACCTCAGGAACCGGACGTCCTTCCAAACAACGTAATTAATACAAAACTATGCTTAATTTTTAAAATTATAACCTGTAAAGCCTGCTTAACAGTGCTTATTATATTATTAGGCCAATGGCAGATTCAAGGTGGAGCCTCCCCCACCCCCCATAAATTTTTGAAAATTCAAAAAAAAAAAATTGAGAAAAAAAAAATCTGAGGTTGTATAGACCTTCCATCTGTGAAAGTCCCTCTCTGGGCCCCATCTACTTTAAATTCCTGGATCCGCCACTGGCCTATGCAACTTCGAGGCCCTGTTTTACCGGCACATTATCACTCATCTCATCATGCTACTTTAAAAAGTCAGTTCCCAAAAAAAAATTGCGACGACTGAAAGTAAGTGGTGGTTGCAGGACCCAGTCAGACAGAGCTCCACCGAATGAGAACACAATTCACAAAATTCGAGAGAAAAAAAATCATATGTACGTTAACTTTCACAGAATACGACGAAGCTGTTCGATTACGGCCCTAATGCATACAAAATCTCAAATTGTCAGGGCTTTTGGGGGATTCGACCCCTGGACCCCTACAGAGTGTTCAGT